TAAAAAAATTACTTTTTTTCTGAGAATTTTTTTTGTCTTTTTTTGAGCATATATCTATAATATTGATAAATGGTTTACACAAATTAGTCAATAAAATACACCGCAAAATGTGTAAATCTAATTTAGGCTAAAACATATGATATCACACGTTAGTGAATGTATCAAAAAAGACCATTGATTTTTTCAGTTATTCAAACTCAATGAAGAACCTAATATGTTTGTATATATCAGTTTAATTGATCATAATCCATTAGCGTTGAGAGATGAGATTGTTAGGGCAAATCTCCAGAGTAGTAGAGGTAGTGACTATTGATTAAAAAAGATTGAAATGATGGAAAAGTTTAAAGAATCTAAAGACTTAGGTTCTAAAGGAAGACAGTGAGTAGATGCATGTGTTCTATTGTAAACGGTTATTAGCTATTATTCAAAGTTTCTAACCGTTGATTATGGTAATCGCGTTAATTGAGTAGTTTACATGACCCAGTCCAACTGTCAATAACATCATAGACTGATTCCACGTTTTAGTCTAGCCACCTCTTAGACCATCCATCATCACATGTGTGAAGGTAGGTAGTACGTAGTACGTAGGTAGTACATGTTCTAAGCATCTCATTCAATAAACATTCTGTACCTGGTCAATCGATTTTCCATTCTTTGCGTCTAACCTGAGATAGGCTAGATCAATGTATAAGAGCTGTGGTTCAACTTTTTACCCATATATCGTCAGTTATATTATGTTTTTGAATTTCAGTGTGCAAATGTGTAATACCTTTTGTTATAAAATGCTTTAATGTATTTGTATAGTAGTTATCATTGAAATTCAGAATGTACATGTCATCCTATATACGACTTTTCAACTGGGATATTCATTAATCTCAGTGTTGATATCCGAATACTGAAACTCAAAGTCGCTTTAAACTCTAACTCAATATTCATTAAACTCTATTAATTACCTTCAAAAACTTGTTTAATACATAAGAAAGTATACGTATGGAATTGATTTAACACAAAGAAAGTATTGCCTTTTTATACTGTTTAAATAAATAATACAAATTACAAGGTACATGCTTTTTCATTATTGATTCTCCTCTTCTAATATATTCATCACTTACTGTTGTTAGTCAGTCAGTCAGCTACAACGTAGGACCAGGCACATTTATGCATCGGTCCAAGTTGTCATACCTCGTTAGCACAACAAGATGAACACCGGATTCATAGAAGTAGTTAATTTAGTGGTGGTAGTATATAAGATAAAGGTTGTATATAAGGATATAGTATAGGAAGGAAGACAGCCGTAAAGTAGAACAGAACGAACTGTTGCATAGTATACTCGTCCCCTAATTGATAGACGGATATCTCGTCTTCGCTATAGGTGACGTAAGTTGGCAAAAGCCAAACGAACTTTTTGAATCCGTGCTGAGATTTCGTCAGACACCAATCCATTAGGGCTGACCAGAGTTCCAAGATAAGTGAAGTTGTCAACGCGTTCGACTTGTTCACTCCCTATCCTTAGTTCAGGTGTTGACGCAGGCCAGTCCTGGAGTAACAATTTACATTTGGATGGGGAGAAACGCATCCCAAACATCCTGTCATTATTACTCAGTTCTAATAGAAGACTCTTTTGTTATTAGTAGAGGATATGCATGAATATTTTATTTTAATTCCATATATACTACTAACTAATTATATTTTCATTTTATTGAATCGATCATAATAATTATTAATAATTGTAATTAAGGTCATTTAGTAAAATGGTATTATTTTTAAAGACAGTAATGATTATTATTATACATATAAACTAGTATATAATGTGAATATAATTGTAACCAATTAGATCATTGTCGCGATTTAGTTATATTGAAGCCAATCATTCGAAATGTTAGAATCTAGATTTTGTGCAAATTAGAATGAAATCAATAAATTGGTACATCCATAGTTCTACAAGAGGAAATGGTGACACTTCTTGCAAACTTTGTACCCATGTCACAGTTGGGAAGGATAATATTATCTTACTATTCAAACTACAACAATATTGTTGTTATGGGGAGTTGATTGCATTAAAGATATCAATGTTACATTTTCTTGTCAAACTAATAATAATCCTATACCTTCATAGTTAAGATCATAAGTCAATTGAAGCTAGACCACCGTGGAAAACCTGGAAGCACTGGACAGCTGTTTCGTCTTATTGCGGGACTCCTCAGCAGTACGAATTCACGATCCCGCCTCGCGGAATTTAAGTTTAAATCATTTAGTACAATCTGATATCTGATAGAATTAACGTGAAGAATATGTTTAGTAATTATGATCCGTTTCAATGACTAGTTACAAATTTAGAGGCATTATTTAGTCGACTGAATGATGATATTCAATTTGCGGTTGTGCAGGCTGTTGAATTTCATTGAAATCAGGAATTGATCAATGTTAGACCACCATTGAATACCCAGAGGTGTTAGATGGCCGTTTTGTTCTAGTATGAAACTTCTCAACAGGGCACATCCATTATCCTGCGTGTGGGATTCGAACCCAGGACTTTCTATCACACGCGTGAATGCTTAACCACTGAACCTGCATTAAACGGTGTTAATGTCTAACTTCGACTAATCCACAATGCCGAGGAGTCCCATACTAGGACGAAACGGTCATCCAATACTTCCGGTTTTACATTGCTGGTCAAACATTGATAGATTCATGACTTTAATGAATGATCATATATGATGGTAAAAATTTGCATAGGTTACACAGATTCGATTGTTTCTTAGACAACATTTACGAGAATTGGATTAGTCTGATTATTTTATTTATTGATTATTAATGAGTTTTCCAATAATCATACTTAAAAGAAGTTCAAAAAGGGTTATTGTATAGGTACTAGGATCATTTATATCGTTATCACTAATAATACATATTCAAAAAATGAAAAAAAAGTCAATAGTTTTTTTTTCAGTCTATACTATTAGCATTTATATTCAACTTTCAATATTCTACTGTATTCTTTTAACCTCCTTTTTAACTAATGGGATATTCATCTGTCTATCTTTCTAATTCTATTATATATATACATAGATACATATACGCTTTCTCTGTTATCAATTACTTAGTTATTTTATTCTAATCTGATTGATTTATATGTCTATTTTCTTTCTCTATTTATTTCCCCTTTAAAAATTTATATTGATTATTAGGATAAATGAAATTCATTAATTTTCGTATACTAATTTACTACTACTAATAATACTAATGAATTATACTACTGATAATAATAATAATAATATTAAACGAGCTATTTAGTACTAATACATTTAACTAAGGAGATAAAAATATTTCACTTATTGAAAGTTAATTTTAAGGACTTTCAAATGTATTCATTTAATTCATTCATTATCTAAACCCTAATTGTATAAATAGTCCTTAAAATATACATATATATATATCATAAACTATTAAATATTAAGGTCATGTAGAAACAAAATATTTTCAGCTAGTTACTTATCTAGATTTATTCAATTGATGAGTACCAATGTTTTTATTAATATATACTAAGTTGACCATCATGGAAAACCTGGAAACACTGCTTTAAGATCGTTTTGTTCTATTGTGAGACTCTTCAACTGTGTGCATGCATGATCCCGCACTCGTGAGTTTCGAACCCAGAACCTACCAGTCTCGAGGCAGTGAACTTAACGGATAGACCACTGAGCCGGTATCCAACGGTCATCCAGTGCTTCCAGTTTTCTCATGATTGTCTAGCTTCAATTGACTCATGATATCAACTCTATAAAATTACTAAAATCTCCACAAAACCCATTTGTGATAATGATCATATGTTCACTAATGACTGGCTCCATGAGGTATTTCCTGGAGATCTAGTGAGAAGTAACCAGTGGAGTTCAACAAGGTCTAAATAAAGGTAACTAATTGCATCAACCAGGCCTGTTGGGAAATATCAAATCACTGAAGACATTGGTGAATAGTTGCTCAATTTCGTGGATCTGTTGAAGTTAGACATTAACACCGTTGGATGCCGGCTAAATGGTCTATCAGTTAAGTGCTCTGGCTTGAGACTGGTAGGTCCTGGTTTCAAATCTCGCTGGCGAGGTGGAATCGTGAATGCGCACTGCTGAGGAGCCCCACAGTAGGACGAAACGGCCGTCCAGCGTTTCCAGGTCTTTCATAGTGGTGTAGCTTCAATTGGCTCGTTAATTCAACAATATAATTACTAGAATCTCCACAGAATCTCCTTCTGAGATAAATTATTGATGAGTACAAATTAAAACCAATGTTTTTTTATAAACTAAGTTGATTGTTTCATTGATCCCAAGTATATTTTAATAATAATTAGTTAGTGAATAAGTGAGTAAGTATTCGGTATCATTTATGTACTATGAAAGTATGTTTCACTACTATAAACTAACAACATTATCTTATTGTTATTACATTGCTTTTAAGTCACATACTATTAAGAGTGAATAGTTATTTTGATAGTTTTGTTTGGTTTCCAACAGTTCTCAAATTTTGACAACTGAATTCACAGATTGATGTATGTTAGATCACCATTGAAATCTTGAAAGCACTGTTGGGCTGTTTCTTCCTATTATGAGACTACTTAGCAGTGTACATCTACGATCCTGCACACGGGACTCGAACGCATGGAAATGCATATTTTACTAACAGTTGAAAACATGAACGAACAAGCACATAATTCATGTGTGTATTTACTGTACAGAAATGTCTTAGGAAAAGAAGAAATAAACCAATGACATTTAAAGTCTATCCAAATGAGAAATATAAACTGTTAGTAAAAATGGACACTTTTAGCGCGAAAATAAGAAATTCAAATTTCTGAAGATCTAGCATTCTAAACAGTTTGAACATTGATAAAATATACATTGTATAAGATTTTACTATAATTTTTTTTATTCTAAAAAGAAAATATACTTAATTGATATTTAAAATCTGTTCTAACTATTCTTTTTTCATAATTTTCTATTGTCATTTAGGGTTATAATAAAGCTGTTGATTGGTGGGCACTTGGTGTATTAGTTTATGAAATGGCAGCTGGTTATCCACCATTTTTCGCTGATCAACCAATACAAATTTATGAACGTATTGTATCAGGAAAAGTAGGTGATATGGTTAATTGACATTTTTAAACAAAAAAATTAATAATTAATAATTGATGTATTTCGTATATTTTGTTGTTGGTGTTGATGTTATTGGTGTTTTACTCTTTAAACATGATTGGATATCACTGACAAGATCCAGATCAACTACAGAAATGAATTGGGTTAGAAAAAAAGAATAATAGAAGTTCTTGGTTGATGAAACATAAAGAATGTTAGAAAATGTTTAGAAGCTTTATATTAAGATTATTTAACAAGGAACAGGTATTTATATATAAGTTTAATCTATGAATTCATATGAAAGTAAGAAAACAATTGGTGAACGGTTGCTCAAATTTCGTGGATTGGTTGAAGTTAGACATTAACACCATTGGATGCCGGCCAGCTCAGTGGTCTATTGGTTAAGTGCTCTGGCGCCAAACTGGTAGGACCTGGGTTGGAATTTCGCTCGCGAGGTGGGATCGTGGATGCGCACTGCTGAGGAGTCCCATAGTAGGACGAAACGACCTTAAAGCAGTGCTTACAGGTTTCCTATGATGGTCTAGCTTCAATTGGCTCATGATATCAACTATGAAGATATAGGATTAATGTAAAATTATTCAAAATAATAAAACATATTCCAGTATCGGATGTAAAAGTCAAAGAAAATGAAATGGTGTTACATAATGCAATCAAAGGTTATAAAAAGATTTCATGTATTGTCTAATAATTTATAAATGGATGTTATTTCAACATAATCATAGTTCTCTGGTATTAAATAAAAAAGGAGGTTGCATCATTCAACTGTATCTTCTTCGAGTACAATGTTCAAGACTAAAACTTTATTCGAAACTGTAAAAGTACTTTCAAATTGACGTTTTGATTTTAGATTGTTATTATTTTTTAAGGTGAGAAATTATTCTACTAGAGTGTTCATCCGATTATATTCAGCTTATCAGCAAGTGTATCTCCAACTTCATATCCTTCTGGCTCTTGAATAAAGAGAATAGGTTAAAGTTCTCTTTCTATGCAGCGACACCCAACTTTGTATTTTCTTATACTTCCTGTATCAAATTAGCTTTCTGTATATCCAGTGTTGCAGAGATTCATCTGGTCTTCGTTTTAGTAAAAGAACAAGAAACTGAAATTTTGAGTTCAACTCTGGTTCTATTATGGACATAATCGAATGGTGGCAATTATCGAACTTGTATCATTTTATCAGGGTCATTGTCTTCATCACAGATGATGACTTTCATATCCTATACTTAAATAAGTTTAACTATCTTTGATCATTTTGTAGCGCTCCGCTATTTTAATAAATAGACTACAACATGTATATATCAGATTATACAGCCTCGTAAAATTGCTGATAAGTTTCGTACGAGATAAGGATGGTGGCCAATAACATCCATAGATTTCTACCCTGTTAACTTTTTTCATAGAAATTACTCATGTAATTAGTTCGATCTAACTTTTTTACAATGTGATCCAAATCGTTTACTTAGTCACTGTTTTACTAATACCCACTTGTTTTCTTGCAATTTGTTTGGATTGTTCCAATCGTAGGTTTATAAAAGATTGTTTTAGTCGGCTCACCTACTTAAAAAAAATAAATTCTCAAAGTAATTAACTTTATATATAGTTGAGATCATGAATCAATTGAAGCTAGAGCACCATGGAAAACCTGGAAGCACTGGGCGGCCGTTTCGTCCTATTATGGGACTCAGCAGTGCGCATCCACTTAAGTTTAATTACTAATAAATTAAGAAAATTCATTAACCTTTTGTGTTAGTAGGCAAACTGTTCAATAATGGATATATTAGTTATTAACGATGTATAAGGCTTAAAACATGTTAATGGTGAACTCTTATTCAAACATGTTCAACAGTTAATTCTTTGTATAGCGAGAATTAAAGTCATTTGATGTGGGATGACAACCAAATTCTAAATGTAAAATGTGTACACCAGTATATATGAATATGACTAAAATATCAACCGAGTTATCAGAGGTATAAATGAGATTTAGAAAAATAGGAGACATTTAAAGCAACTCATATATTAACTGTTGCACACATGAAATATGTGTAATGCCGAACTCAATGATGAATACATTTTACATGCGAACGATTATGGCGAAATTGGAAAGTTCACTCTTAATAAACACAAGTTTTTCATGATCATGGTTACTAGCTTGCTTGGAAAAAAATTAAGCTAATCAACAGCGAGTGAAAATTATCACTTTTTTTAAGAGAGTTGTAAACGACATGTTCATTAACTACAGTATTCAAGCTAGAAACAATTAAGTGATTCACGCGAGAATGAAGGTCCTGTGTTTAAGTCCTGCGCGTGTGATCGTTTATTCGCACTGTTGAGGAGTCCCATACTAGAACGAAATAGCCATCAAGTGCTTCCAGATTTTCAAGGGTTGTCTATCATTGATCGATTCATGAATTCGGTGAACTAATAAAAAGAATGTCGGCGTTTCAGGAAAGAAAATGTACTTCCATTTTTTAAATCTTTACAGTCGTAATTACATATAATTTTACCGTGTGTAATCTGTAATAAAATATAATATTGACCTGTAAGGTGTCATTAATTTAATCACAATTTTGGCATACAATTCTCATTTTGTTACAACACCGAATGAATCAAATAATTTAATCATGTAATATGTGCGTACAACTGCACGCATATATTACGTTAATGTTACTAGTTACAATTAAATGGTGGAATACGATGTTAATGGCAGGTAAATAAAACTATATAAATTGTGTCAAACAGAATTGTTACTATTGTAAGTGTCGTAGACGTAGAATAACTCATATTTACTGTCTGACACACATCAACTGTTTAGCCTTAAATAGGTCAATCTGTCGAAAAAAATTTACTGATTAAAAATAGAGCAGAAGGGGTTTTGTGGAGAATTTAGTATTTTCATAGTTAAGATCATGAGTCAATTGAAGCTAGACCACCATGGATAAACTGGACGGTCAAATCGTCCTATTATGGGACTCCTCAGCAGTGCACATCCACGATACCACAATCGCGAGATTCGAACCCAGGACCTATCAGTCTCGCACCAGAGCACTCAACCGATAGACCACTGAGCTGGCCGACATCCAACGGTGTTAATGTCTAACTTCAACAAATCCACAAAGTTTAAGCAACCATTCACCAATTGTCTTCAGTGAGTTGATATCTCTACAACAGACGTGATTGAACTCCACTGGTCACTGCTTCTCACTAGAACTCAAGGAAATATCTCTTGAAGTCAGTCCCATAATAGGACGAAACGTCTGTCCAGTGCTTCCAGGTCTTCCATAGTGGTCTAGCTTCAATTGACTCATGATTTCAACCATAAAAATGGAACATAACATTATGTGAACGTCCTTAAAGCAGAAATCCATATATATATATATATATATATATATATATATATATATATATATAATTAGGTAGTTGTATTTCACCTTTTCCATGCTTTATGTAATACGCATTTAATATTAAAGTTATTACATGGCTATTTCTATGACTTGCGCGGACTACTGTTAGTACATTCCTCAGTATTAAATTAGTTTGTTGAGGAGGCCCTAAGAAATACCATGTTGTGTTCTCTTTGAATGCTCTTTGATATCTACAATGAAAAGTATTATTAAGTGTGGTATTCACCCATGCCTACATAACATAACCGTAACACTCTATACACAGGTTACCCTCAACGGTCTTTGCAGAGCAGACAAGATGACTGAGCTGCATCTCAATGATCTGACCCATTCTACCAAACCATATTCAACTCTTTGGGGTTGGAAAAAATAACACACAGCACAAATGTCTAAATTTTCATGGTCAGACTCTTTACTAGGTTTAGGGATTTCATTAGTAATTTGGGTATCTACGTTCGTTTCAGCTCTACCTTCCTAGTCATTACTGCATATAGTAACATCCAGCCTTACATTTCTGAAAGCATCATTTCCGTTGTTGATTTCTTCTATTTCTCGGTCCATGAAATTGGATAATGTTTCACCAAGGTTGTTATACGGATGGTCAGCTGTATTAAATGAAAATTGTAAATAAAATTTAGGAACTGGAACCAGACTAAGAATCTGCTAATCAGCTGGGATTTTTCTCTGGCCAGAGAAAAATCCCAGCTGATTAGCATGTAATGCCATTAACTCTTATAGGGACATTTCCTCCTTGTTGTACATTTCTGTACCATGAATACATACGACGTCGGTAAATCAAAGAGCTAGATTTTTTTAATGTATTGTTGAAAAGATGTAGAATTCCAAAAAACCATTCATTACATGATACACCTCCAAGCTGAATGATATTTTTAGCAAGCGTCTCAAAAACACCTTAGTAGAGATAATAATAAAGGTCAGACACTTGGAAGTTTCGGTCGTTCAAATAAACATCGTCGTATATCGAAAACATCTTAGGCGAATATAATTATCCCGTAATTTTCATACAGAAAATTGATGACAACAAATACTGCAGCTTCTGACATCAATGAAGAACGAATTATATTCTTCTGCTTTTCTGTCAAACGACGAAAGCTAAGATCTTCCTCATAAGTGATACGCCACAACTAGCGATTAAGACAAATTGACCATCTAGATACTACATAGCTTATCATTTTTACATAACAATTGTATGATACATTATTTGTTGTTATTTTTTGTACAATAAACAGTAACATCACATACTACTAGTCCATCATATAAGTAGTTGGATACTGTCTCCTATAATGTCATAATCATTTGATAAGTATATTAAAATAAGTTGTTAGCAGTTCTCTATTGTTTCTATTATGGATGAAAAGATAGTTTTGACTTGGATTAAGACTTGACATCTTTTATCGTTCTTTTTCTGTGAAGTCACTCTACCAAGTAAATTAAAGATACATTTATATACTTATATTTTTTAAGTCGAGTAATTCCGAACGTTGTAATTACTTTTCTCTTATTTCTTTCCTCCTCTTGTTTCTACTCCTGCTTCAGTTTGCGCACCTAGGAAGTATCACAGCCCTCACACCCAATTCAATGAGATTTATGCTGCTCATATATATTTGGTGCCCTCTTGTACCATTATATATGTGTTTATATAAAATAAACTTCCTTCTACTATTATCATCCTTACTTATCGCTCTATCGTAATAATAATAATAATAATAATAATAATAATAATAATAATAATTTTTTATCCCGCCCGAACAGGTTCGTTTCCCGTCACATTTTAGTTCAGATTTAAAAGATTTATTAAGAAATCTTTTACAAGTTGATTTAACTAAACGTTTTGGAAATTTAAAAAATGGTGTAAATGATATTAAAACACATAAATGGTTTGCAACAACCGATTGGTTCTCTATTTTTAAACGTGATGTAAGTTTTTCTTTTTTATATATATAAATTTTTTTCTCTTATTCTACATATATTACTGTTTAAAATGAATTTGATAGTAGTCAATTTGGTTTCATTGAATGAATAATCAAAAGAAAAAATGTTCATCAAGTTAATTTGAGTAAATACGATACTTCACCGTGTTAGGTGAAGATAGTTATCAGCATCAGACGATAGATGAAGGGTTTCGCAAGATTATGGGTGGATTAAAGTTATTTTCATAGTTGAAATCATAAGTCAATTGAAGCTAAGCCACCATAAAAAACCTGGAAGCGCTGGACAGACGTTTCGTCCTATTATGGGACTGACTTCAAGTGATGTTTCCTCGAGTTTCAGTGGGAAGCAGTGACCAGTGGAGTTCAATCACATCTGTTGTAGAGGTATCAACTCCTGAAGACAATTGGTGAATGGTTGCTTAAACTTCGTGGATTTGTTGAAGTTAGACATTAACACCATCGGATGCCGAGTCAGTGGTCTATCGGTTGAGTGCTCTGGCGCGAGACTGATAGGTCCTGGGTTGGAATCTCGCTCGCGAGGCAGGATCGTGGATGCGCACTATTGAGCAGTCCCGCCATGGGACGAAACGGCCTTAAAGCAGTGCTTCTAGATTTTCCATGGTGGTCTAGCTTGAATTGACTCATGATTTCTGAGATCTTCACAAAACCCCTTCTGATCGATTGAAGTTAAACAGCAACACCATCGGATGCCGGATCAGTTATCTAGAATTTAGGCGTTCTCGCACAAGACTGAAGGTCGTGGGTTTTATTGTCGTGTGCGGAATCATGAATGCGCATTGCTGAGTCCCATACTAGGAGAAAGCTGCCGTTCAGTTCTTCCAGGTTTCCAACGGTGATATAGCTCAGATCAACTCATGAAATTAACTATTACAACAACAAAAAATATTGTAATATAAAAAACAATTTTTATTAAAATATTTCATTAATATTTTATTTTAAGTTAGTATTCTTGAATTCATGGTGAAAAGTTATGGCTGATAAAAAGTTAATCATATTGGAAATAGGACAGTTATCATCAGTGGAATTGGCTGACCATCACTCTATAGCTTAAATTGATTTTAGTTAAAATTTTACTATTAGATGCCGACTTAATCGTCATAATTGTTAAAAGTCTTGTGTTAAGTCTGTAGCACAATTGTAAGTATGCACTGATAAGTGGAATCTCATAATAGGCTGCAACAGTTGTTTATTATCATCTTGTTTTCAACGGTATACTAACTGAGATCAGTTTGGGACATATACAACTTATTATAATACAGTATAACTTCTTAGATATTATATAAATATTAGCGGTAAGCGGAAAATTTTAAAACATGTAAATAAAGTTTCACTTTTTTTCATTGATCATATCGAATTGGCTACTACCATCACTGTTATTTAGTATTTTAGAAACGGTGGATCGATAATGTACTCGTTAGCGTCTCCACCATCTAATTGTATGTTGTTATCACATTGTTTCTGCTGAACTTATGGAGATTGTTATATCTGATAAAATAAACTCATGATCGGTTGATGATTATTCAATAGAAACTATCTATGTATTTAAAGTTGGTTGGTTACTACTCTGTGATCATTCTATCATAAATATATCTCAGTTCTAGAGGACGTCAATTACTGCCCGGATATATCGGTGGTAATGTGTCTGACTGTGAAGCTGTGTGATATGGGATCAAATCCTCCAGGGAGCTAGAGTGCTTTGTTCCTTTTTTTCTTTTTAATATACATATGTTAGTCTTCTATAGCTATCGAACTTTTCTTAACTTACTCATTTGTAGACAGTTAGGTTGGTTTGTTAATTATTAGTAAGTTTTCTAAAAAAAATATTGACAGAATTCCTGAATAAATGGTTAGTGATTAGCAACGGAATCCAGAATATGCGTTTCATCCTAATTGTGACTTGTTGGCTTTAGTATACGTGGTTCTTAGTGTTATGAGTAATTGGTAATACCAAGGTAGTCCGTTCATGAACACACCATTTATGTTCGAATTGTAAAGCATTGGGATTGATTTTCAATAGAAACATTAAGATACAGTTACATTCAGTTAAACAGACCTATATAGTACAAACTATATGTTCTGCATTATACACTTTTAAACATCTTACTTACGGCTGCTACCCCTCGTCGAGGAGCATAGGCCGCTCACCCGCATTCTCCATCCAACTCTGTCCTGAGCCTTCCTTTCCAGTTTTTATTCATCCTTTTCATATCTGCTTCTATTTACGGACGTAATGTGTTCTTTGGCGTTCCACTTTTCGACCTCCCTTCCGGATTCCAGGTGAGGGATAGCCTTGTAATGCACATTGGTGATTTCCTTAATGTATGTCCTATCCACTTCCAATGTCTTTTACGGATTTCCTATTCAGCTGGCAGCTGGTTTGTCCTCTCCCATAAAACACTGTTGCTGATTGTATCCGGCCAGTGAATGTTGAGTATTTTGTGTGAAAACAACTATTTATAAATACTTGTACCTTCCTGATGATAGTCGTTGTAGTTCTCGACGTTTCATCAGCGTACAGTAGGACTGTCTTGACGTTCGTATTAAAGATCAATCTACTTTAATCATTTTTTTAGTGATTGAAAATTCACTTTCAAATAAATTTTCCTTCATATTAATAAATCTTTTATTAATTATTTTTTTTTAGATTGAAGCACCATTTACACCAAAATGTTCCGGTGCTGGTGATGCAAGTAATTTTGATGATTATGAAGAAGAACCATTACGTATTGCTACAACAGAGAAATGTGCAAAAGAATTTAGTGAATTTTAAATAATAATGACGAAAATAATAATGAATGATTAATGAAATTGACAATTGAACATTTGATACTGACTGTAAACAAACACAACCATTATCAGTTGTTACAACTATTACTACTACTACTACTACTACTACTACTACTAATAATAATAATAATAATAATAATAATAATAATAATAATGATAATAATGATAATGGTTATATTATCATTATTCCTTTTCAAGTGCTTATTATTTCCGACTTGTTTTCACTAATAATTTTTTTTGTTGTCACCTGCTTTTTTCTTCTTCCTGTTTTTTTGTTATTTCTTTTTTTTTGTTTTTTTTGCATTGACTTTCATTAATCACAGTGATGAATATTGTTTGTCTTTCTTTTGTAGTCTTTCTCTTTATATTATACATGAAGAATTGTCTATGATCGCCAATCTTGCTTTATCGATCGCTTATTTATTTATTGTCATGATTGTATAAGTAATGTGTTTATTACTGTAGTATATGGAATACACAGTAAATCTGTATTTTTTTCCCTTGAAAATAACAATTACAAATGTGGTTTTCTTCAGTGTATGTATGTTTGTATGCATGAATTGTGATTCTACTTCTTTTCTTCTGTTTTAATTCAAACTATGACTGTAAACTACTTTATGGAAGTACTGTTCCTTCAATGATTATACATCTTTATGTATGTGAAGATTTTTTGAAATTATAAACTTGTAATTATTAATTTAGATCAAAGCAATACTACTGATATAAACATTAGAAATAATAATAATTTTAATGTATATTAAAAATAAGTATATCGTAAATGGTCTCTTTTTGGGGGGGGATGGGTGGCGTAGAAACATCTATCTGGAATTCTCTTTCAATACTTTTTTAATAGTTTAAGTAAAGAAAAAAGTTTTATAATCATTTATGCTTGTGATTGTTATTATTATTATTCTTCAAATAGCTGATCTCGTACATACTACTAATAACACGACTATCAACACCTAATACTAGAATGTTTCTATGAAAATTGAATTACATTGATCATCTCTTCATATTTTATATGATGTTTTTATTGTGGTTTAAATAGGTCCAATCAAATGTTCCATCTCTATTGCCAATCTATTACCTTATAATTGATTTTTTTCCCTTCTTTTTTTAAAAAACAAAAACAAAAATCGATCACTATATTTCATGCTCATGTTTATATTTTGATTGTCTTGGGGAAAATATTGGCATTCCATTATTGTTGATGAGTTGAAGCGTTATGAAAGTGTTTGATTTATGAACACATTAGAAACAATGCTAACATTGTTATCTATTCCCATTACATTCTGCTATGCATTATATTGTTTCTTCTCTTTCATGTCAATCATGATCTTAAAGATGTGCTTGTTTAAAATGAATGTTGATAAATTCAGGTGAAACTACACTTGTACATTTTATACAAGTTAATCCTGTACTGATGATGATTTTTCTAAATTGGGTTTTATCTGTTTTCATAATGTGTATTGTATTGCTTCACATAAATTAATTCCTCTTTTTTTTCTCTCTGTCTCTCTCCCTCTTCTATTTATTTACTTTCTTTTATCTCGTTCGAAAAAGAAAAGCACAATTGTTTTCTTCCACCATATGATCTGTTCCCACTTCACATTTTTGTTTCCAAGTGTTCGCCCAAAAAAAATTTTTTTTATTTCAATTTGTAAATATGTGCGTGTGTGTTTACTGTTACTTTTGGTCTGTTGAATAGAAAAAACAAAACAACGTTTGTATGTCTATTTCTTTGGACAAATTTGTTTACTCGATAGTATGGTTATTTTGTTTTGTTTGTTTGTTTACTAGGTCATCATAACAAAACAATCTATGAAAATTGTTTACTGTCAAAATTATCTATATGTTTATCATTGTGTTGTTACGTAATCTATTTATCTAATTGATTGTAATTTTCATAGTTGAATACTTTTATGAATGAATATTGTTAATCTTCTCTGACTGTATTCACATACCTACACTCACTTCTATTAGTATACACAACCAATGACATTTTTAGCTGATTGTCACCTTTATTTGTTTTTTTTTCTGTGTTGTTCACTTGTTTGTCTAATAATAATGGTAAATAAATCATTATAGAGATAATCATAATGATGCTCTATGTTCAGTCGGAACATATATTTCTATTGTTATTCATATCCCTGCTTTTTTTTTCAATTCACCTATTGATACTACTACTTACTACTTAATTGTTTGTTTGTTTGTTTTTTGAACAACATATGTAAGCGAACAACTGTTTTCAATTAGATCGTCATCAGGCTTTACTCTAATATACATGAATATTTATATAAAAATGTTAGACCAATCAAGGCTATTTGAGTCAATAATAATCACAATGAAATAGAAATACGTTACCAAGCATAATAATAGTTAAAAATACAAGTTGATAGTGGGAAGACAGGTGTACTGATAGTAGTAAGAATAGTAAATTATGATAACAAAAGTCTTATCAATAATTAAACATAAGAATTAAGAGGTCAAACGTGGGTAAATAGTCTGGAATAGTAATCACAAAACATTAAAATCATTACGTAATAAGAAGTATGTAAGTAAATAGATAGTGAAGAATACAAACGGAAAGAGGTAGAAAATTACAAACAAACAAAAAATGATAACCAAAATAAATAAAAAAATTAAAAAACATTTTTTTACAAATAATAATAATGTCAATTATTAAGTTATGTCCGGCCATGTAAGGGATAGGGGGGTTACGAATTTTTCTGTACACATAAATTGGGATGGAATGTACGAATCCCTATGGCTTCTGCTATATGAAGTAGACGGGAGCGAACTCCGTTGGGAAACGATGGAGGTATACGATAGATCACTTGAAATGATTTCAATTTATCAACAGTATGACCACTATCAATTAGATGTGCCAAGATAGAACTGCGTATTGTTTTTATTTGGCCCTTTCCAAACCATGCTGGTAGATGTTCACTCATTCGTTGGTTAAGTTGCCTAGTAGTACGCCCGATATAGCTATCTCCACAGGAGCAGCTGAACTTATAAATGCACATGGAGGAGGCCAACTCAGGTAACTTATCCTTCGTTTGAGTAGACATCACTGGTCGACTCGAGAAAGTCAATGCAAGATAGGCTGCGTAGAAAGTTCTACTAATTACTTTTGTTAACCTATCTTTCAGAGTTTCACTAGCTAAATCCCCGTTGAATGGTAATTTTATGTATAGAGGCTTCTTACGAACAGTTAAAATCTCCGATTTCTTCCTTGTATCATACATGTACTTTTTGATGAACGCAGCAGGGTAGCCGATCTCAGTCAGTGAGTTATAGATAAATTCCAGTTCCTGACTTAAAGTATCAACAGAACAGATCTTATTTGCTCTACTAGTGAGGCATTTAACCAAGTTTCTCTTATATTGGATAGGTGTAAAGCTATAGAAGTGAGTGTATTGGCAGGCAGAGGGTCTTTTTCTATACACGCTTCTACTTAACGAGCCATCACTTCGCCTGCTTAGTGTAACGTCAAGGAAATTCAGCTTCATGTCACATTCACCTTCACCAGTGAAACTAATCGCTGGATGTACACTGTTGAACTGTTCTAGTAGTTCATCCTTACTGGTGTTCTGATCCACGACTATGAATGTATCGTCGATGTAGCGGCAGTATAGATCGAGCTTCTTAATAGCCTCCTTAAGTGGGCCATTTTCTAGCTTAGCTAAGAAGAGATCAGCAAGAATCGGGCCTAGAGGTGAGCCCATGGCTATTCCGTCTATTTGTCTATAATAGGAATTGTTGAAGACGAAATGAACATTCAGTGTACATCTTAAAAGCAGTTCTTTCAAACAATCTTCCGGCAGGCCAATGTTGATTTGTTTTTCAGTTATTTGCTCGCATATGAACTCAATAGTCTCCATAAGTGGTACGTTAGTAAACAAGGATACTACATCTAGTGAGAACATATTTTTCATACTAACATTCATATTTTCCACTTTGGAAGTGAAGTCGAATACATCTTTTACACTCGTACTAACAATTGATTTGTGCAAGGGCTCTAAGATACGTACTAGCCACTTTGCAATTTTGTGATAAGGGGAATTGAACATATCTAGGACTGGGCGCAGTGGAAGACCTGGTTTATGAACTTTGGGTAAACCATACAGTCGTGGCGTATAAGATCCAGACGGTTTGATAGAATCCAGAATCTCTTTTGTAATTATTCCCTTATTCTTTAAATCCTTAAGAGAGTTAGTCAACTGGTTTTCCACTTTTTTATTGATATCGGAATGACTGGTGACTGTTTTTTCTAAATTTGTGTATGTTTTCATATGAATGAAGCAAAAGGGAATATGCACATGTGTGTGTGTGTGTACGCGTACACTTACATAACGTATATACATGTAATTCTCATTGTTTAATTATTATCATTGTTGAAAAATATATATAATAATATAACTAGGTTTGTTATATCTTTTCAATGAATTATTGAATAAATAAATAATTATTATAACTATTTTTCTATTCTATTCTATCGGGTGAATGAAATGAATCTTAAATGTAAACAGCCCTCCGAATGCCGTGGTGTGGTCGAGGGTGGACAGAGTCAGCTCTCCCTCTCGAAATGTTCTCAATGGGCCACGCATAAACATCTACTACAAAAGTAGTCCTACTCACTGCCTTCTCGTGACGGGGGTATTGTCTACGAAATTGAGAGAATGGAAAGTGAATGTCTGACACTTTAACCGGGATAGTAGATATGAAGGATCCACTTAGGGCAGTTGAAAAATCCTCATTCTAAACCAATGGTGCACATGGGCTCCAGTAGCCTGAGAAAACAAATGGTGTATGAACCTATTGTTGGTCACTGGCTACCATGGGAATGCATCTCTTGACGTTGCTCCACTGCCTTATGAATCAGATTTTTTAGGTCAGAGGCTCGAGGAGTGGTTTCCAAAGAAAACCACTTGTTTTGGTTTAGTCACCCAGGCAATATCACAGTCTACACACAAATCA